GCTGGGTGATGACAGGAAGTTTAGTTTTTTACTGATTATTTTGACATCGTGAGATGCGGTCTGGTGTGACGTAGGTTTTGAAAAACATTTTCTTTATCGTGACAACGTTTCGATCTTTATTGAGATCATCTTCAGGGCCTGGGATTTATAAACATAGATTAAATTTTACAAATACATGTCGGATGTGAAAAAAAAGTTAGTTTAGTTTTTACCAGTCATCTTGAACATAATCCTTAGACAGAAAATATTTTTTGGAGATCGTCGGAATATTCTCTAGCAGAGCCATAAGGAAAAGTACCAAGACGAGTCGAGAGATTTTTATTGAGGTTAGCAGACTAGTGTTTAAAATTGGTGGACGGTGTTGGTCTGCGAGTTGGTGACCGTATTGTGAACTGAGACATTTCTTCGCTGACGATGTCGTGAATCCTTAAATCCTCGAGAATAAACAAATCATGTAATGATATTTTGATCGCAATCGTCCATTTGAACTGATCATTCTCGAGAAATCGTAAGGCATCTCATCAGAACAATATTTAAAGTTGGTGGTTGTTGGTCTGCCAGTCGCTGAATAAATATCGAACTGAGACGTTTCACTGAAGATGTCGTGTAGCCGATACTGCTTTGAGGTAAATCTAAAGCCTCGAGAGCAAACAGACCCGGTGGAGTGATCATGTTCGATCAGGTTAAAATTTGAACATCTATTAATACCTATAAATATAATTAAATTTAATTAAAATTGTCCTACAAATAATAAAAATAAAGGGTTAGGCTTCTAATTTTCGGACGGATTGTGTTATTTCAACAATTAGAAATCAAAACAATAAGTTTGGTGCAGTCCCGTTGTTTGCATTGAACTGTTGACTTTAATCACAACACGACAATTTCCAGTTGAATAGTTCGTTGGCATTTCACTCTGGAAGAAAGTTGATTTAAGTCAATATTGACTCTAAATGCTGTTGTTTTAAATTAATTTAAAAGAAATCGGGCGTTCGACCAGCTTCAAATTTCGAGAATTTTTTTATATTGGGGTTCCATCATTATACATTTCTACTTGGACGAAAGTCGGTTGTCCGAATTTGTCTCGGCTTTCTGGAAAAGGAGAGTCAATTAAGTATTAGGTCCGATGTCGTTTGATCAATGTTTGTTAAGCCGTTCCTCATTACACATAACGACCTCTGTCCTAGGTAAACGCGTGTCGATCCAACGCATCCATAATTTGATAACCCGTCAAAACAGTCTTGATTAAAAGCCCCTGCCTGAATCGGGAAAACGTCCCTCTCTCCAGCAACGATCCTTCAAAGGAAAAAATATTTTAAATTTTTTTTGGTTGAATCAACATTGCGGCAATTGTAGTTAAATGACATCTTCATTATCGATGCAACATTACATTTTTAAGCTACACTAGCGGTTTTACCGGGAAGAGCGATTTTACCTCTTCACAAATGTAGTCAAGCTCCTTTCAAAATTAGCCTGTTAATCATGTATTACTCAGGCTTCTTTGGAATGCTAATGGTTCGAGCTCTCACAAAGACGAATGAGGCATAATATTATAGTACTCACTATATTTACTGAAGGATCTCCTTGGGTGTAAAAGTTGAGCTCTGACACCATCGGATGGATGGTACTGGTTTGGAAGCCTATCTGGAAGCCACGAGTTCTAGGAAGACAGAGATACAAGTCGGCGTCCCTTAAGAGACCCATCTTTGTACCACTGACCTACGTATACACCATAAAGCTCAGTACACACTAGGATCACAGTTGTGCATCTTTGTTGGGAACAGGTCCGATTCAATGTTGTGCGTTTGTTTGGGGGCTGCCCCGCAACAATAAGTCACACTACACTACAATAGCATTTATTTACCTAGAAAATGTCTCAGGAGCTTGGCCTCGCGGGTGTTCTTCAGTCGTTGTTATTATTAATTAAAAATATAAATATAAGAAATCGAAAAAGATGGTAGGTCCAAAAATTGTTTAGTAACAACAATGATACATGCCGCATTATTTTGGACACATTAAGGCTACAAGGTGGAATGAGATTTGCCAACTGCCAAGGATGACACCTAAAGATTTTGACAATCTTTTGCAAATGGTTGCGCTAAAGGTGTTTCTCGCAACCACACTCGGGCTTCCCCTGGAACATGCGTCTTGCTGTGCCACTGAATTCCGTTTCAATGGATAAGGATAGGGATAAAAGAGGCGGCCACAAGGCCTACTGCACCTCGACTTGAATAGATCTATTCTATGTGCTATCTATGTGCTCCCTTGTTATTTATAACTCACTGGCCAACTTCCGGTTATTAACCAGCTTTGCCCACGGCTCCTTTGTGTAGGATCTTGCTTATGGTTTTTCTTGTCCTAGTTACATCTGCACCTACATAGACCTTCACAGAAACATAAAATGTGTTCTGCGGTTTCCTCCTCTTCCAGGCAGTATCTGCAGTGTTTCTTCTGTCTGCACTCCTATCCGGTGTATGTGCTTTCTTAAGTGGCAGTGTCCTGTCAGTCCAACCAGAATCCTGGTTCGGTTGCGGTCGCTTTCCAGTTTTGTACGTTTTGCGGATGGTCCTTCTATGAATCGCTTTACGTGCCTCATACCTGTGGTATTGTTCCACCAGGTTTTGGTCTCATTAAGGATCCAATTTTAAGATATATCCTCTTTTTTAGCGGGCTGCTAAGATGCAGTAGGTTTCTGGGCCCAGAGAGTCCATGTTGGCCCCGTTTTTGGCCAGCACGTCAAACTTTTCTTTGCCTCTATGCCCCAAATATCTAGGGACCGTGATAGGGTCAAGTCATTACTGTCCGGGCCTCCATGCAGTTCCAAACACTCTTTGCCTTCGCCTCGCATGAGGCAAGGGTACTAAGTGCTTCCTGGCTGTAAGATGTTTGGATGGGACACAAAATCTTGTATTACGTAGACCCGCAATACACTCAGATACAAGGAGACATGTTGCGTGTCTGAATCTCAACACTCCTTATTTAAAGGAGATTCAGTCCACCAACAATAACGCGCCTAATCCTTTCATCACCACCCAAACGGACGATACACAATTTTGTCCTTTAACTCAAAACCTCCAAGAAACACCGATCCAACATGAACACCTTAAGCTTATCGCAGACTTGTTAAAAAATGAAGGGAGGACTGAAACTCCTCTGAAGAAGATATACCGATTTCCATTCAGCGCAAATACTTAAGGCTTTCTCTAGACATCAGAATGACATGGAATCCCCACAGAAGATTTAAAAGATAACAACCTAAAATAAGACTTGGAAAACTGCGAAGACTTCCAGGACCAAAATCCGCCTTGACCATCAAAAACTAACCTTATACAAGACGATTACGGAATCATGGATTGGAACAGTGGGAGTTCTGTCAAGCCATCAAACAACCTGTGCAGCCCTTACTACGTTAATAAGTATCCTTCCTCTCTATCCATAAGGACTTCAACATTCTTTTTGCTTACCAATTGGTCTGTTCCCGATTCCGAATGTTTCACATCAACTTGTAGATACATTTTTATCCTTCTGCTCAAGGCCTCACTTCACAGTCCGATCCCGAGAACCCACCACGACGCTTTAGTCCACCATGGCCTGTAGACCACCTCGCCTTTTAATCCCTCACTCTCTAGTTGATTTTTTTAAACTTTAGCTTGTTATTTTTAACTTTAACTTGTTAGCTTGATTACTATTTCCTATTTAGGATTTTCATTTTGACTTATCATTACTGCCAGGAGTGAGTTGAAAAATATCAGATTCAAATCGTTTGTATCAAAGGTACCGGTTTTTTTTTCAGAAAATGAAGTTTTTCTTTCGATAAAGTTTTTTGGTGGATCCATAAGTTTATTATTGTTCAAGTGGCGAGGCGAAGTTTGCTTCCAAGTTGAAACTTGTCCTGGAAACATCTAACTTAGCAGAATAACAAGTTTGACTGAACACGGACATGTTTTTTTAGATGCCACTCCTTAGACTACTTGGCGAAGGGGGGTTCGATTCAAAGTAATGAAAATGTACTGATCTGAAAATATTTAGAATGACGTATGAACAACGCTATTTTAAAATTGCAGATTATTTTTTTAAATTTTTGAACAAAAATCTTTTTAAGACATTTCAGTACATGAAATAACCTTCGAATTAAACTATATTGCTGAGGACGCGCCTTAACAGTCGGAGATACCTTGGAATGCTAGTTGAAAACTAGAGTTTCTCCCTGTCGCGAACCCTTTGGTCTCAATTGGAAAAAGTTTCCTTCTTTTACCATTGCCAATAAACGGAATGTTACCCTCCCAAGGAAGCCGGTTATTTCCCAGGACATGTAATAGTCGAAAGAATGTTCTTGCTATTGGACGAAGGTCGGTCAATTTTCCCGTATATGAAAAGTTTACCTTTTAAATCGAGAAATGGTATGCCGGGAATTGTATTTTTTTAATGAAATTCGCTGTTCAAAAATTCATTTGTTCCTTCGTTAAAACATTGTTCAGGGTGAGAACAAAGAGCACGCCAACAAAGTCGTATCTGAAAAAACCTTTCCCCCATTGATAAGCGTTTCTTTCCGACGATTCTTTTCAATTTTGACGGGGGTTTTTGCAACACATTATATGGGATCGTTATTCAACTTTCGGTCCGGTAGTTCTCGCTCTTTCCTTTCAGGATGGATGTATCCTTTGACTACAAAGTGACATACCGAAATATTACAAATTTCATTCGACCTCTTATTTCTCTTCGGGTTCAAAGTTTTACTTTCTGAGTTTATTACCCAGAACATCTGTGTGTTATTTAGTTACCGTTAATTAACATTCTTTCGAGATCGTGGGATGCGTTCTGATGTGACGTAGGTTTAGAAAAACATTTTCTTTACCGTGCTAAGTTTCGAGCTTTATTTCGATTGTTGGGTTGTTAAAATGCAACAAAAACATACATGGTTCTATATATATTTTTTTTATATGTATATATTAAAAATAAAAAATTGAGCGTTCTGAAATTTATGTTTTTCTAAAATGTTTCAGCGTCACTCTTGGCCTCGTTTGAATGCGAACAGCCGGAAACTTCTGAAGAAAAAGAACTACAAAAACGGCTTCTGTAAGTACTACTTAATGATTTAAAATTAAAACAAAAGTAAATTGGAAATAAATTTGAGCAAAACACATTATTTCCTTATCCACTTTAGTTAAATTTTACGTTTTTAATGGCTGATCAAGCTGCAAATTGGTTAAACTGAAACTTTACAAGACCTTTAAATGTTAAATGCTCCCTGTTCTTTAACAAAAGCAAACATTATTGTGTATTGTGTGTTGTTTTTTTTATAATTAATATTTACACATCTTTTTTGTTGGGAAAATATCACAACGCAATATCAGAAGAGATAATAATAGATCTAAATAGTAAAATAATCGGAATGAACTATTTTTACGTGGTCACTGGTGACAATAGTTTCTTTTTCTTTTACATCGATTTAAAAAATATAGAGCGAAATTGATCTCTATTTATTTTTATATCATGGAATATGAACTACTATTAAGGTATAATTATTGGTGTGTGTTATGAGTCGGTGAGCCACTGGGTCGTTTATTGGGTTTGGCGTAGGCGTCAAATTACGCCATCATCAGTGAGTGTCCGTGTAATGTTATAACAGACTGTTTACGACGTTAAAAGTCTAAAATCCTAATGGGACAAAGGTCGACCCATAACCCTAACCTCATTTCTATAATAAGTAATGAGATAGAAAATATTTTATTTTAAAATATTGAAGCCGTAATGTATTGAGGAGTGAAATAAGTTGGACGATTTAGTGTTGCTTTTTTTGGATTAGTTGCAAAATATTTTTGGGTACATTTAGCCTTAAATAAAATAAAATAACTAAAACCTAACTGCTGGACTAATAAATAATGAGATATAAAATATTTTATTTTAAAATATTGGAATCGTATAGTGTTGAGGAGTGAAATAATTTGGACGATTTAGTGCTACTCTTTGGGATTAGATTTAAAATATTTTGGATTCATTTAGTCTTAAATACATTAACTAAAACCTAACTGCTGGACTAATAAGTAATGAGATAGAAAATATTTTATTTTAAAATATGGAAGCCGTAAAGGGTTGAAGTGTGAATGAAATAAGTTGGACAATTTGGTGCTAATTTTGTGGATTAGATTTAAAATATGTTGGATACATTTAGTTTTAAATACATTAACTAAAACCTAACTGCTGGACTAATAAGTAATGAGATTTTATATTAAAATATTGAAGCCGTATAGTGTTGATGTGTGAATGAAATTGGTTGGAAGATTTAGTGCTACTTTTTTGGCTTAGATTCAAAATATTTTTAGGTACATTTAGTCTTAAGAAACCTTGACATCCACTTCTTAATTTAAGTGTGTGTAATTCATTTATCTAATTTTTTAATTTTTAATTAAACAATCAAATGCCATGGGATTCCAATTAATTCCTCCATCGAGTAAAAGTAAAAACTAACACTATACAAGAGATTTTTTTTCAGCTGTATAAATAAAAACTTTGACCTGCAACAGAAAGCTTTAAGAGACTAAAAGAGGCTCAAGTTTTAAAAGGAAACTTCTCTCTCTTCGATCCACTCGGATTCCTTAAGCTTCTGAAACTAAAACGCTAAAGACAAGTCATTCTATTTCAAAACCTGCAATGTAAATAGGACATTTCATTGTTTAATTGAACGTCGAGGAAAAGTTCCATTTGGTCGAATCTAATTTATCGTTTTGTTTTTCGAGAATTCGATGGTACATCATCAACAAATCAAAAAAAGGTTTAGATTAATTTAAGAAAACACTATCTTCACATTTAGGTCCAAGACCGAAGTTGAGTCAACATGGTACGCGATTCGGAGTTTGAGGTGATTCGAAACAATACTGGCTGTACTTTGACCTGGTCTGTATCGAGCCCCTCACCGCGGTTATTTCTATCTGTAACAGGTTTTCGGTCGACCCTCCCACGATGTTCCAGCTGGAGAAGTACTATGAACTGGAGCACCCCGGAAAAACGGTGGTTGTTGTCTGGGTACAACACGTATGTAGGTAGAGTAACGAAAATGAGGCCGTGGCGCACAGTGAACGAAAGGCCCAAAATCCCTAACTTGGACCAAACATTTTTTTTTTAATATTCCAACCCCTACCTATTTGCACCCTCTTACTACCTCTTAGTTATAAGAAAGTGCAGCAATTTTCCTGGATACAAAGTAGCATCGTTGTGTATATACAAAAAGTATTAGAAATCGACAAGTGAGAGTTAAACATTCGTGAAATTATATTTCTTTCATCTTTTCATGGTTTTCTAATGATGTTACCTGTTATTTTTCATACTAATGAGGTATGGTGGTGACCGTTAATCGATAATTATTCAGAAATCGTGAGATACGGTCTGGTGTGATGTAGGTTTCAGAAAATATTTTTCTTTATCGTGCCAACGTTTCGATCTTTTGAGATCATCTTCAGGGCTCAAAGTGTTTGTCTTCTGTGTAATTGTGCCATTCTTGCGTGTCGTGTTGAGAGAGCCCTGAAGATGATCTCAATAAAGATCGAAACGTTGGCACGATATAGAAAATGTTTTTCTGAAACCTACATCAGACCAGACCGCATCTCACGATTTCTGAATAAGTAATGAGGTATATTGAAACTGAATAAAGAACTTAGGTCTAATGAAATGCTGGGTGTATTAGATTGACACTTGATATTTAGTAACTTCGAGCAGGTTTGGGTGCATTTAAAAAAAGCTCCAAATTGCTCCAAAAAACTGACTTCACAGGCTTCTAACTTAAGTATTCAATGAAAGAAATACGAAGGAATTATATCCCCGTTCGTCCCATTTTGTCCGCAAAACATATTGGAACAAGTGGCTTCTGCGGTCAAGGTCTATTAATACCAACCGTTGTTTCTTTACAGTTTTTATGTTGTGGGATTAAGTAACATAGCATTATTGTCATTCTCGTTACTAACGTTTTGTGACTATGTTTGAGACTAACGGTGATTTGTTTAATTTTTACAAAATCGTACGGATCCAAAAAATTATCTACTTCTTAAGGAAGAAATTTTTAGGAATATTTCAAATAATATTATTTTATTAGAAGAAAAATTAAAAGCTAAATGGGTACATTTAAATGTGGATACAGGAGGCAAACATTTCTGCGAAAACATGAAGATTGGGTAAATAAACCTTTTGCGTATCCCGATGATTTTTTTAATCCTGGAAGTGAGACCAATGTTGGTCTAAAACCTTTTAGTCAACTCTCTCAGAGACAAAAAATTCGCAGTGCTGAAGAGTTGAGGGCAGGCTATTCGGGAGAGGAGCCACTTTTTGCTGCAAAAATGAATTTGCGGGGAGAAGGACATGGGGTTAAGGCAAAAATTATTAATAAAGTTCTCGAAATTCAGACGATTTGGAGGTTTTGAAAAAATGTGCGATCATGATGAAATATCAAAGGTCATTTCGTTCTCAAGTGAGATATCTCTTGCACTTACCTCAGCGCTCAACCTTTCTAAGTCACAGTATCTTGAGAGCTGCCATTTTGCAAGTAAGCTCTAAGATGTTTCCATGTTTTCGCACCGCTCTAATCGCCAAAATGACTTCACTAATCGATTCTACAATAAAAAAACAAAGAAAAAACGTTCCAGTATGAAATATTTATGGAGGAATGTCAGGGGAAAAATGCCATGTCAGGAAAATCGCACTATTCGTCCCACTGTGTAGCGTCTAAGGCCGGGACGTCCCAACCACTGTCGCTACTCCCAACCATTGTTCGGGGGGGGGGGGGTTGACACACCGACACTTACTTTAGAAATTATAAATGATGGGGTAAGTATGGAGTTCAATCCTTTTTAAAAAAGATGGTTCCTACACATTAAGTTGTTTCGCAACGTCTGGATTTCGAGCCCTTTAGCTCATCGTCAGGTTGAAGGGTTTCCACAAACACGTAACTCGACATGAAGTGAACCCGCTGATACCCCCGCCAACGCGACGTTCCAACGAGGAGCTGGGTTTTAATGGCGCTCAATTTGATCGTCCGAAAAGCGGGAATTATAACACAAATAACTATTGTAATAGTAAATACTGTAAGAAATTAATTGTAAATTAGTGATGAAAGATAAAAGATAAAAAAAATTAGAATAATACCTTAATATTATTAAATTATTAGAAATAGATGGATATAGAAAACCCAGAACTTCAGACAATATGGTTCCAGCGGATTCTTCCCAACCATGGTCTCAAAAGGGTGCTGGTTTCATTTGGCTCTTAGACCATATGTTAAAACTTCCATTAACACCTGCTAACTATAAAAATGAATTAGAAACTATTAAAACCATAGCAAAAAACAACGGGTATCTAGAAATATTTATTGATAGGTTACTAGTTAAAAGAATAAAAAATTAACTTTAAAAGAATCAACAATAGGACTCAGCCACCCCACCATAAATGAATCATTAGGTTTCCGTTGTTTGCTATACATTGGTGAATTATCAGAAAAAAATAGTAAAAATTTTAAACAAGAAGGTTTTAGAATAGCTTTTAGAAGTACGGGTTCAATTAAAAACATCCTCTCAAAACCTAAAGAGAAGGTAGACAACTTGGCAAAAAGCCGGGTTTACCAATTTAATTGTAATGATTGTGATATTAAATATATAGGACAAAGCGGTAGAGAAACAAAAACGAGAGTAAAAGAACACTTGCCCAAATCGAACAAATTTTCGGAATTTAAGGACGATCTAAAAGAAACAAAACATAATTTAAATTCAAATTTAAATACAGCAGTGTTACATAGTTTCAACAAAAAGAGAGAACTAGATTGGTTTGATAAATTTGAAATTAAAAAAATGTAAAATTGAACATGGAGATAAATGCATTAATAATATAATAGATTTTGATCTAACTCCCATTTTAAATATGTACTTAATTAATATTAAAAGTCCAAATAATTAAATTAATTATTTTAATTGTCATTATTTTTATCGTAATTTAATAATCTATTATTTAGGTATTATTCTAATTTGTTTATCTTTTATATTTAATCATTCATTTATAATTAATTTCTTACAGTATCTATTATTATAATATTCACTTGTGTTATAATTCCCGCTTTCGCACGTTCAAATTGAGCGGCATTGAAAACCAGCTTCTCATTGGAACGTCGCGTTGGCGGGGGTATCAGCGGGTTCACTTTTGCAATTCATGTCGAGAGAAGTGGTTGTAGAACTCCGTCAACCTGATGATGAATCATTAGGTTTCCGTTGTTTGCCATACATTGGTGAATTATCAGAAAAAATTAGTAAAAATTTTAAACAAGAAGGTTTTAGAATAGCTTATAGAAGTACGGGGTCACTAAAAAAACATCCTTTCAAAACCTAAAGACAGACACCTTGGCAAAAAGCGGGGTTTACCATCAATTGTAATGAATGTAATGTTAAATATATAGGTCAAAGCGGTAGAGAAATAAAAACGAGAGAGTAAAAGAACACTTGCCTAAGTCGAACAAATTTTCGGAATTTAAGGGCCATCTAAAAGAAACAAAACACAATTTCCATTCCGATTTAAATACAACAGTGTTTCATAGTTTCACCAAAGGGAGAGAACTAGATTGGTTTGAGAAATTTGAAATTAAAAAATGTAAAATTGAACATGGTGTTAAATGCATTAATAATATAACAGATTTTGATCTACCTCCCATTTTAAATATGTATATAAATAATATTGAACGTCCAAATAATTAAACTAATTATTTTAATTGTTATTATTTTTTTAATAATAATATTAAGGGATTATTCTATTTTTTTATCTTTTATCTTTAATCACTAATTTACAATTAATTTCTTACAGTATTTAATATTACAATAGTTATTTGTGTTATAATTCCCGCATTTCGCACGTCCAAATTGAGCGCCATTAAAACCCAGCTCCTCGTTGGAACGTCGCTTTGGCGGGGGTATCAGCGGGTTCACTTCTGCAATTCATGTCGAGAGACGTGTTTGTAGAAACCCTTCAACCTGACGATGAGCTAAAGGGCTCGAAATCCTGATTGTTGCGAAACAACTTAATGTGAGTAGGAACCATCTTTTTTAAAAAGGACATTTACTTTTGCGTCAAAGTTCGCATCTGTAGGCACGCAGAAAAAGGTTGCTCGATACCACCCAATTGAATGGTACAATGCCTTGGATCCTTATATAGAGCGTGTAGGAATGAAATCCGATATGTCATCATTGTGCATGGCTGCTATCTGGATCCCCTGTTTCGATTTTTGTAAGAAATGGTTATTTTATTGTATATAACACCTAGTGATACATTTGTCGCTAGCTTGTTTTGAGAGTAGAATATTGAGTACACCCATCGAACATTAATTAGTTTAGTTATGTAATGTGTAGTAGGGTGATGGAGGAATATCGAGTACTCAGCCACCCTGAGTGAATGGATATTTAAATATGAAATAATACGTTAAAGCAGAGTGAGGGTGTGAATGGGCTTGCGTTGGATGCTGAAACGATCTAGCTGTTCGAAGCGCGTCGCTGACAGAACGGAAAGACAGATGTCTCACACCGGACTGTCATCCAGGATTGGGTGATTCTAGATGCCTGCTAGTAATTTATTATAAATCACAAAAGATGGAATTGCCTGTGGGTTGCGAGAAGTGATAGTAACCCTGTGCTTTGTACATGCATCATAAACTTAAATAAATCAGTAAATGCCATGTTTTCCCTTTTATGTTTCAGAGCATAACTACTCTCGAATGCATCTGTGATCAAAGCGAATTCCTTTTCGGATTGTATTTGTACGTGCAACACTGCAACGGCGGAAAGAGAGGTAAGGTCTCTAAGATATTAAGCCGGTTCATCTTACAAGCCCCTTCTCCTTAAATATCGAAGGGTAAATAGAATGTTATGAGCTTCGCTGACATCAGTTTCCTAATATTGCCTTGTGCCCCATAGCCGGTTTGGCTCATTTCGACGTTTTCCGTAAAATCAACAGGTGTAGTTGGACAGAATATAAGAAAGTTTTTTACCAGGTCAACTTAGTTGTTTATCGTTTGTTTTTACTTGTTAGTTTAAAAAAATTGATTAGTTCACTATGAAGTTTTCATTCCTGGGTATTTAGGATAATTCTGTAAAAAAATTGTATAGTATTGGTTTTATATTCCGGTTGCTCCTCAATTATTGCATCTTCCGGATAACACTAGAAAAAAATGAACACAAAATGAAAACTTTAAACTTTTTCATATACTTTAATATAAAAAAGGCCTAATACAGGGTGTACCATGAATCCTTTTGGAAAAGTGGAAGACTAGGTTTTGGATAAATACTCAGATTCAAGCTTAAGATTAAATTATCATTAAGCTGGAGGCTTGAAGTCAGATCCTAAAGTTTTGTCAAAGTGTGAATCATTTACGACTGGTCTTTTCCTCTCCTAGAAGTACGACATGACTGTTGTTTCATCTTCTTCTTCCGGGTAATATCTACACAATCATGTTTCTGCTGGTCCAAGTTTATCTACATACCTTCAAGCCGAGGATTGACTAGAAGATAACTTAAGTTAACTCAACCATAAAATAACCATTTCTCCAATTTCGGTTTAGCTCTCTCCGGTGTCCTCTGCCTTAGTAAACAAGCATTATTGCTCGGCGGTTTTCTGGATGTTGAACGGATTTGACAAAAATTGACGCCCCAGTCTCGTTTTCAAGTTAAAAAGGTTCCACACCTGCTACCTCAGAAAACCTACCAGGAATAAGGTTTATGTTGAGAAACAGAATTATTAGACGTCAAGCAGGCGTTTCACAAGGGCATATCCTGGGTGCAATCGTTTACTGTTTACACAGCTGACATACCTGTACACCTTAATCATACAAATCACAACTTTCGCCGAAATTGGAATCATTTTCTTGAGAACACTTAAACTTCATTACATTCGAACCTGCCTACAAGTGCACATAAAGAAAAAAGTAACACGAAACCACATCTGCTATCTTGGTTCTACTTGCACATCAGTTTTACATAGAACCCAAATACGAAACTAAGAAGACAAGAATTGAACCCAATAGACAAACAACTCAAACACCTACATGGGCCTTAATCCGCGTTAAGTCGACTTACAATGTCTGTGGTGCCCAGCTAAAACTTCCAACATCGAACAATCCTTTCAATTCCAAGTCAACGTTTGCATATTCAACGTTTTCTTCTATCTCGCCAGGCAAACAATCCATGAAAACCTAGACATCCCATTCTTGATGTGGTCATTCTTAAGGGAATAAGTAACCTTGGATTGGTTTTCCCAGCTAACATACATATGCACTCTAACACCCAAATATTCGCAGATGACGCCGCAATCATCATCTCTTAAGACCTATCTAAAACGCAGAATTATCCAAAATACACCAAATCTTGCTGAGTGGCACAGAGAGAAACATCAAACTTACATAGAAAAATAAAGGTTAAAGTTTAAAAAGAATCGGTTGCAATCTATTGTGGATCTCCATTATGATCTAGAACTCTTCCGAGCTAAATGCTTGTTATCAGTTCCAACAGATTTTTCAACGGCGGCCTAGGCATAAGCCTTTCCGTCCCCTAGGAGTGGGAATCTCAGCCTGTAGTACAGGATCCGCTCGCTGTTGCTTCTTCTTCCTGGCAATATCGGCACTTGCATCTTTACACGTATCCAGAGTTGGGCAAAATCTAACTAATTCAATCATGATTAAGAATTTTGATTGAAGTTTAATCATGATTGAATTAATCATGAGTAATTAAATGACTAATTCAATCATGATACTTCAATCAAAATTCTTAATCATGATTGAATTAGTTAGATTTTGCCCAACTCTGGCTACAATGACCAACTTACCAAAATCCAACCGACTCCGGATAAAAATTTTGAGATGAGAGTCGTGCTCAAGGCCAACCTTCAAAACGAAATCATAAACGAAAACCAAAGTTACGTAATTATTCTACATTTCTATTTTATTACAATCAAGACCCCTAGATGGAGTATTTTCCAAATAATGTAGAAATCTCTCCTTTTAAGTGGAATAAATTTTAATTCAAAGAAATATTTTTTACATTGATTGGTTATGTAAACATATTTACTTTTCAAAGCGTAGCTTGTTATAGGATTTTTTTATATTTTTTTATTATTATTATTATCATTATTTTTTGGCTTTTCATAACGATGGTTTTTACATATAATTGGAAGATTGATTTTTGTTAAATAAGGTGTTGAAGGATTTTCGTTTTGATGAAATAAATTTCTATTAGAAAATTTTTTAAAAGTGATGAAGTGTATTTCTCATTTTTTGAGCACCTATTTATGAATGCCCCCACGTAATTATTCCCCCCATTTATGAGCACCCATGATTTATCGAAATTTAGTCATGACTAACTATATTGTGACTAAATTAGTCATGCCTCGTATTTAATTACTAGTCATTATTAATTTAGCCATCAATCACATATGGCGACTAATGTCTAATTTAGTCATCAATCACATATGGCGACTAATGACTAATTTAGTCATCAATCACATATGGCGATTAATGACTAATTTAGCCATCAATCACATATGGCGATTAATGACTAATTTAGTCATCAATCACATATGGCGACTAATGACTAAATTAGTCACTTACTACCAATCATGACTAACAGTCTGAGTGATCAATCATTAATCATTAGACATGACTAATTTTTGCCCAACACTGCACGTATCTATGGAGTTAAAAATTCTACTATCATTCTAGTCCTCACACTTTCTAGGTTTAGCAGTTATAACATTAGTTTTTGCGATGACCTTTAAAGAACATTTTCGCATGACTTCCGGAATACAACCCCATTGAACCGAGGGCATTTTTTACCCAGTTATGAGGGTCTACGTTTCTGCTAATTTGCTAGACCTCAAAAAAGACTAAATTGGTACCATCGCCTTGGTCACTTTGTCAGACTCCTCGATGCCGATTTGCCCTCGTACCCATTGATGCGTATTTTTGTTGTTTCCAATGCTTGACGGGGTCATAATATAATCCCAAACGGCTTTTACAAGTAATGAATTTACTACCAAAAAATACCTATCTGTCCGAGCAGTTTTTTTATTCTTGGTAAAACCCAAACTTTCGATCTCTCTGCCAGAATAATCAATAAGCCACTGTCTCAGTCTGAAATATAGTGTCAACTCCTGACCCATTCCTCGGCCTGAAAGCCATAAGTATACCAGATAAATTCGGCATTAACTGGGATCCCTTTTTCCCAGTCAGCTCTATCAGGTCATTTAATTCGATCAAATCTGCATTTTAGGATCATGGAGTTAACACGCATCCTCATACATTATCCGCCTAAGTTCGTTCCGAAGGATTAATTTCTCCTTTTTATTGCTACAAACTTATTGGAGCATTACCCTGAATTGGACTGTGAATTTCGGTTAGTTTAGCCTATGTTGAATTCGGTTAGTTCCGATTAGGTTAGGACAAAATAAAAAGCTGGAAAAATTAAACAAAATGTTACCTTCCGCGTCTTGGAAATGACTAAATATTAATTGTATGTTTTTCCTCTGTTTCAGGTTAATGATACCAGTGCTGTGACTAAATTCGTATTGTATTAAAAAAAGACTTAAACTATTGTATTTTTCATTAAAAAATATATAAATTTTGTACAATGTTAACTGTTGTTTTATTTCATTCCTTCTAGGAGTTGGGAAACTAAGTGGGGTATAATTAATTTTGAATTTTAGCACCAGCCAGAACACAAGTGTACTTATTATTATTGTGATATTACTATGTAAATATTTGGTGTACCTATCTGGACGAGTGCAGTGCCGGGATGATCTCTGATTTTTCGTCGTCCTCGGTTCACAAAAGCCAAAAAGGTGTTCAGCTATTCAACAAAAACCAAGAACTTCTCAAGCAATGATATACCTTTGATACCAAGGTCTTCGAGGTTTTTAAATAAAATGTCATGGACTAAGGTGTAATTAGTCTGTTCAGTTTTCCGCACTTTTCTGAAGAAGTGGAAGCTTCTTTCTTCAAGAAGTAACGAACCGAACTTCTTCCATCCACAATGAATACGAAAGAACGTAACTTGTCCTTTGTCTTTTCAATGACAGGTATACTTTTCTCAACAGGTAACGAACTGAACTCCTTCCATCCACATCAGAGTACGAAAGTACGTAACTTGTCCTCCGTACAGTGCACCTATCCACTGGTACTCACGAGCGACCCATCTCTGCACTTCCTTCATCAAAAATAATTTGTAATTTTCTATATACATTGGATTCAAACACATTTTTAAATATTTTTCGTAAAATCCGGCAAGAATGCTACTTTACTTTCATGAAACATTTACCTTTTTTTTTATTCTACATTTTTTCACCTTCGTTCATTTTCATTGTTTTTCTATAATAAATGTCACACTTACAATTAGTACTGGCATCGATTCTTGATTTAAATAAATTTTAAGCCAAGTTTAAAATTTATTCAACAGCAGGCACTTTATCTTCTAGTAAAGCCCAAATCCTCCCGCCGGTGAATACACTTTACATTGGGTAAACCTTCATAGTAACTTTGATATGGTAATTAATTAATATTAATTATATAAATATTGTTATAGTGGCAAAATTCGCGGCCCTAGGAATCTTCAATAAGCCAATTCTGAATTTGTGATCGTATAAATATTTTTATATAATGTTTTTATCGTTGTCTTTACGCTTTATTGTGTAGAAATATATTTTATTTCTTTCAAACGACGCTTCTCTATGTTAAACCTGCTCGAGGACAACCATTGTGTCTGGTCCATCCCTAACAATCCCTAAAGTAATTAATGTAAGACTGCTTTTTTCTAAACAGTCATGAGACACCCATAAAATACGGGAGATTCTAACATTCCAGACATTGATAGTTCCTTATCGAGTTTTGTGCTAGGACGTGGTTCATCAAAGTATACGAAAATATTAAAATTAAGCCTTGAAAAAACAGTTGTCAAACTAGATCGATTACGAAAATAGCATTTTGGAGAAAACCAGCTCTCTAAGAACTAAGAACTAAGAATTTTTTTTTAGCAATAAACGTGATTTTTTACGTGTTCGTGGAAAAATCGGATCTCTCTTTCTTCCAATTTTCAAGAATGCATGTTTTGAACCGTCATTTTTGAGCAAATTTTATACTCTACAACTTTTGTTCCGAACAGTATTTAAAAAAAAAGTGAACAGAGAATCGACAATTCTTACTTCTTTGGTAAAAAACGTGTTTTTAGAGTTTTTCAATAAAATAACCAACTGTTTCTATACAAAACATGTTTAATTCATAAAACAATATAGAGGATGTTCTTTAGAAGAAAAAATTCTTAATTTTTTTAAGCAATAAACGTGATTTTTTACGTGTCCGTGGCAAAATCGGATCTCTCTTTCTTCCGATTTTCAAGAATGCATAAGTTTTGAACCGTCATGTTTTCGCAAATTTTACTCTATACAACTTTTGTTCCGAACACTATTTAAAAAAAAGTGAACACAGAATAGACAATTCCTACTTTTTTGGTAAAAACGTGGTTTTTGGGGTTTTTCAATAAAAAATACGTTTCAATACTAAACAGGTTTATTGCATAAAACAATATATAGGAAGTTCTTTAAAAAAAAAATTAAGGAAAAAATTTTTGAGCAAAAAACATCATTTTTTTCGGATCACTCTCTCTCCCGATTTTCAAGAATGCATAAATTTTGAACCGTCATGTTTTCGCAAATTTTACTCTTTACAACTTTTGTTTCGAAGACTATTTAAAAAAAACCGAACAGAGAATAGACAATTCTTACTTCTTTGGTAAAAAACGTGGTTTTTAAGGTTTTACAATAAAAAAAGTTAAAAAAAGAAAAGAAAACTGTTTCAATACAAAATAGGTACCGTCGGTTCACACCTTTCCTTTTTAGTCGTGGATGGCGATTTTTCTTGGAGAGAGATGTGTATCGTAAAGCTGTGGTGTGAACCCTACTTTCCGAGTTCAAACTTGCTTATTTTCTTACCCAGGTTAGTTTAGAACGTTGTTTCTGAATATAAAACGTACATCTACAAACCACGCGCAATGACGTCCAATATATCCTAAAAGGATCCTATCAATGCAAAAACTTGCATAAGAAAAAAAACCGTTATACATAATTCGAAATAACATAAATAATATAATTATGTGGAGAATTAATTAATTTTTATGTAAGGTACTTTTTTATTGTTATAACGAGGTTCGCAACAGCAGAGGTCAAATAAACCCTCAGGCTGCCGGTGTTTTTGAAAAACAAAAAACAAAAAACATTTGTAATATCGGGTTCGAATGCAGGGCCGCTGGATTCGAACCCGGGACCTTTACCTTACAGTGATGAGCGCCGTGTCAACGCCTAAACCGTTGCGGCCACCGACGCCCCCTGTTGTTTCATATTATAGAATTAACAATTCAAAACGGAATATTTTTCCGTTTTTTAGATGTATTTCTAGTAAAAAGATTTTTTTTAAAGCTCAAAGAAAAGTGACTGGGATATTTTACTTACCTTTTCTATTCGTTAATCTACGGGTAAGCATGTAGAAAGGGTTTTCAAATAAATTCAAAAGACTGTTTTAAAACAAATTGGTACTTAATATTTTATTGGTATGACTAAGACAAAACTAAGTACAGTTGCAAGTTTGGTAAATAAAATTACTTTTAGCTTTTATCTTCGTTCATGGAATATCGTACAAACGGCGTCATATCAAACACACGCCAATTATTAATCCCACATTCAGCCGGGGCCGCCATATTGAGCGGCCCGCTTCAGTTTTCGTTTTTCTTAACATCTATTTATACAATCTTTATTATTTTCAAATTTTCCATTCGTATAAATAATCGAAAACAATATGAAAATGGGGAAAAACAGGAATAAGGATAGAATATACTTAAATCGTAGGAAGAGTGAATAGTAGTAAACAATAGAAATGAATTAATGTACAGTATGGTATAAACAAAACGTCAGATCGCGTCTGCTGACTACAGAAAAGCCCTAAAATATCGCTAAGGGCAGGCGACAGTCTCTAACGGGAAATTTCTTTTTATCAATTGGTCGATCCCAGTTCGGCCCTGAAAAAACAAAAAAAACAGTTAAACTTAAGATAAAATAAAATAAAAACAATAAACTCACTTCAATGTTTTATATCTTTCCTTTTCATGGTTCTCAGGGGGTTCGCATTCGAAAGACGCTAATGCGAGAGCTGCAAAGTTAAAATTTGTTATAATCTTTTCTCAATGTGAAGGTGTTTTTATTGTCTTACCGTCTTCATTGAGGACTGGAGTGGCCTGGAGGTACGTGATGACTTTAGCTGACTTTGGGAATGGGCAGTGGACTTGCTTCCAAGTTATGAACTCTGTCACTTGCTTTGCGAGTTGCCAGAACTTTTCAAAGTTGATATGCCCGTTTGGCAGCCTACAGAGAAACAACAAAGAAAAGAAATTCAGCTTACCTTAAAAAGCGAGATTTTAGTTAAACGAAAATGAAACATGAAGAGAAGAAACAGTATTTCTCACTTATACGAATTTGATCAGTTCATTATTTTGTAAAATTGCAAATACGGTTAGCAAAGAAATATCAGGGTATACCTATTTTCAAAACTCATGTTAATTGTTCTTTATGACCTAATTTTAGCGCTACAGTAAATAATCAATTAATGGTGGGCAAAAAAAGTTTATGTACACTTTTCAATTAATTAATCTTTATGTAAGGTATTGGTTGAGATAAAAAAGTCAGTGTCACGAACGGGATTCGAACCCACGACCTTCGGCTAAATACGCAGCTGCTTCACCACTTGAGCTATCGTGACTTCGATCCACTCGGACACAAACTTCACATCTCAACCCGCCTTTTTGAATTTTCCCTCCTTTTTGCCATTTTTCAAATATCGGGTAATCTACTTGATTGACCACGAAATCTAATGGATTTAATAAGCAAGCTAGCGTATATCTTCACTAAAACTCTCCGTGTCCAATTTCATTGTCGCGAAGAATCAAATAGATTACACGAACACCTCTCATAAAGATTAATTAATTGATAAAATCTGATATTTTCTGGCAACAAGCTGTACTACTCATGTTATTCACCAATAAACCTTTGTTTTTTATTATCCCAATCTATCATTTATTGCAGAAAAATAATTTATGGGCATGGTGAACACAGAATTTTTTTACTAACTGTAGGTTTATTAAATCCTTTATCATAAATGTTTAAAATATTCATTAGTAATTTTTGCCACGTGTTCAGAAAATTCACGTTAATGAGTACGAGTTCCAAAATATTTAAATGTTACGTAGTTTATTGTATTCAGATATATTTTTTTCTTTTATAACAATGTAAAACTGCCGGCGACTCAGCTCGTTTATAAAAAAAAGTGCCTTGAACGTTTTCCAATATAGATATGAGTTTGGGCGGTTTCAACAGGGCTTCGGCTTAGGCGAGGGTGGAAATGCACTTGTTGAAAGGCGAACCCTGCATGGTGGCTCGGTTAAAAAAAAAAATCCAAGTCAATTTCGCTGTTTACCTTTCTCGATTCTTACTTTCCAATTTATTTTCTTTGGTTCGGCTAAAACGGACAGAAATATCTTTTCTTCTTTATATCATAACCTTTCCTTTATAATTAAAAAATGTCATTTAATAATAAAACAGACGGAACTTTTTTCAGCTTATTATGCTGTTTTTGTTACAACAAAATTTTATTATTTAAGTGTTGTGACTGTTAATCAATAATTGCCAAATCAGAAATCGTAAGTTGCGGTCTGGTGTGATGTAGGTTTCACACATTTTCTTTATCGTGCCAACGTTTAGATCTTTATTGAGATCATCTTCAGGGCTCAAATTGTTTGTTTCTGTGTAATTGTACCATTCTTGCGTGTCGTGTTGAGAGTGCCAACACAGAAGACAAACACTTTCAGCCCTGAAGATGATCTCAATAAAGATCGAAACGTTGGCACGATAAAGAAAATGTTTTTCTAAAACCTACATCACACCAGATCGTATCTCACAATTGTTGAATATTTATTATTTATTTATAAACATTGTTTTTTAAGGAGACATTTTATTGAGACTCTAGTGATAATTAACATCAGTAATGTAACAGAGAATGAAGGCTGGAAATATCCTAGGCTATCGTAAAAAGAGCAAAAGTGGCTATCATGAACGGAGGATTTACAGTGTAATTAGTGCGATTAATTAAAATGACGTTGAAGGGGCCAAGTTGCAGTTACATTGAGTTTCAATCGATAAGTAGCAAATACGGTGGACCGTCGACTGGGAAATGGGCGTAAACCTACGTGCCAACGGAACCATCATTCTCCATGAAGGGGTAGGTTTGAGGACAGTAATGTTCGAGAGCCTTTTCCATGAATAAATAATATCATGATGATAAATTGAAGATAAACAGGAGTGATCCGGGGTATGGGATGCAACCAGAAAAGGTGATGATTCACGGGCCCTTTTTCATTCTTCTGCGTCCTTGATGAACCTTTGGTTACAACGGGGATTTCAAGGCGCAAAATAATGAAGCAGCCTAGAAAGCGTAGGGAACCGTTTGAACATGACAAGCTGTCATCTATGTAGGCGAATCATGTGTATAAAAGTGCGGGTGCACGAGCAATTAAAAAATATGCCACATGTGTGTCAGTAAACCAGATTCTGTGTGAAATGGCGGAGGACGGAGCATGACCGACATAAGCAATTTCCAAGGCCATAGGTTGCTATTGGGTTGGATTCGTAGTGATGCGTTGGTAAAACTCCTGGTGGGTACTTTGAGTTTGATGCTGACATGCAGCCGGTTCTCCTTATCAGAAACCTTTACCAAACCACTGGGTTACCAGGGTGGTTAGCATTACCTCCTAGCTTGAGGTACCATCCACTCGGGAGTGAAGGAACGGTCAATTCCATCGAAGGGACGCGAGTCGGTGATGTTCAGACAGAACTTTCTGTGCGTGATGGCCAGGGCGTGTTGATGTTGATCCCTTTCGAATGAGCAAGTAGGGAAGAAACTCGTCCTACTCCTTAGACATGGGGAAGTTTTTATACTTGTCAACTAACAAGAAGTGCACCATTGTTTTGTAAAACAGAATTGTGTCGCCTTCCAGCATGTTCTGAGCAAACGATTGATACGGCCACGGGGGTGGGGCAGTTATGCATCTCATAGTATTCAATTTGCTCCTCGGAATAAGAAGAAGCTAAGAGCAATTGGAACTATCTTAGAGAAATATTTATAAGTTAACCGTTAGCCTTAGTATAGGTTAACTGGTAACCTAAAGTATATGAGCTGATCCCTCAGAAAGAGTATGATGGCGGCAGAATGCATGAGTTGAAGGAAAAATCTAAGAGTAAACGACATTAAATATAAAAGAAGGCAACGCACGGCTATTGTACCTCCATAATATAAGCTCATTATCTAGTTTCAGGATTTTCATTAGACTCCATTGTTTTGATAATTGCTCTTCAACCTTAGCTACTCACGATAATCGGCAATGTCCGATTAGGAGACCTGCAATCCTCCTGAGATTTTATTGGTTTCATGATGAACAAGTCTGTAGATTATGTCCCTTATCCAAATATGTTTTCCACCTGGCTTTGGCAATATTTAGGACAGTTTAAAATTTTACGGAAGAGTTCTGGTCATAATGGTCTTCCAGAGGCAATAGTTCTAACAGCCTCTTCGTCACTTCTGTTCTGTATGCCTGGGAGCCAGACAAGGGTCAGCTGGTTGCTTATTCCTACGTTTCCTAGAACACGCAATCCCATACCCTACCTATATAGCACATGGCTATTGGAATAGGAAAGGCATCAGATAAGTAGGAAAGAAGCGCACATTGATGGGCTTAACTTCAAGTACTAGAAGCTTCATGTATCTAGAATCTGAAAGAGGACAAAGTGACGATATGACCTTAATGAGGTCGTAAAATCTCAAGCATTAAGTGGTGACGTAAGGCAAAGTGTGTCAGGTTATGAGAAGAGTAAAAAGAGCCTTAAGGTGTAAGTCAGGCCCTGTAAAAGTTGAACGGCAAGAAAGATGAAGAAAAGAGCAACGGGCAAAGAAAAGAAAATGAACAACTAAGACAGTTGAGTTAGTTTGTCAATAGTGATCAAGAACAGGATATAATAATAATTAATTGATTTACTCACTTGTTTGAACATCCTTCGTTGAGGAAGTACAAGTCTTTAACTAGGAGCGAGAAGAACGGTATGACGATCTTTTGGCTCTCGTCTTTGGCGGCAGCGGAGCGCCAGACGGCGGCTTTGAGAGTCGACCTGTAGCTGCTGAAGTTGCAAGAAGGGTCCATCTGATGCTCCAAGACCGAAAACTTGGCACACTGCACTTTGCTCCACTGAAACGAAAACGTCATAATGAATAAGAAATCCCACGGGCACTGAAAAGCAGAAAAAATGTTTCTCCCTCTCGTTACACCTGACATATGTGTCTTTCTCCCTTACTTGAAAAAATAATGCCGTTATGGCTCCTTCGTTATTTTTATTTCCGACCGGGGAGGGGAATGAAGGATGTTACGGCATTAAAAAAAAGGAGTGGAACAATCTCGCATGAAATTTTCACAAATATCCAACGACACCCTTAGGAATGAAAAACTCGTTTACATTTTTTTTCTAAACAACATCGTATCGGTTATTAGATTCCAAGGGACAAGAGCAAAAACCCTTCTGTTAAATATAATTCCTTGATAACACGACAAGATCGGGCTTTTACGTCCACCAACACGACAACTGCCAGACATGAGAAAAATATCCGGGGTAGACAAGTTACCGAGTGACAACCTGGTATGGTAATAGTTGGGTAATTATTCGTTAGACGCTGTAAACAAGTGAGCCAATCTGCAAGTCAGATGATCCCTGTAGACTTTAACATCAAGACAGATGTGTTGGCCTCCTGATGTTAAACTAGTTCTAACTTATGCCTTAATGATTTTAAATTTGCATTAGTTGAAACATAAAAAGCTTTACCGCACATGTGAAAGAAAACGATTGTAATTTTTTTTACCTTTAAAGCCATTTCCCCAACGAAATTTCATCCCTTAGCTTTTTTGTATAACTTTATTACAATCTGTAAATTTTAATTACAACATGGCATTTTCGAAAACATTTAGATTATTTAGTTTTTTTTAAGTATTCCGGTATGTGATGCTACAGGAAACATGGCACAAATGTAGGTGGACTTAGCTGCTATAAGCACCATGTGTCACATAAAATTTGGTGAGAAGTAGGAATGACAATCTTTAATTTATATATCGATACATCGGTTTCCGATATATGGAAACCTACATATCGGCTTCACCGATATATCGTGAAAAATATATCGATATATTTAATTTTAAGCGACTATTTTATAATGTCCTTATAAGCTAGCCCAACTGGAAGAAAAGAACGATATTAATAACGGTAAAAATATACTCATGGTCGTGAATAATTATATAATTCTTATAAGTAGTTATAAAAAAGATATAAAATAAAATAGAATTATAACGATGAACTAGATTATCGACCTGCTGGATACAAGAAGTCTTTTCAGAGGATCTTCGGAAGAGGTCAAAACAGAGAAAACTTCCTTACGGTTTTCGCCGAGCTTTCGACAGTTTTATACTGTCATCTTCAGGGCCTGTTTTATTATCATATAAACAAACAATTAAAACATGAAAAAACAATAATTACAACAAAAATTGAATATCTTACTTTAAACCTTAATAGGGAATTAAACAACATGGTGTTTTGGGCACAGAAGTACATTATGTTTTTTTTTTTTTTTGGGGGGGGGGGCTCAGCATCTAAACATTAATTTAAATTGAATGCATTAATAATTAAAAAGTATAGCTAAAATTACAGTAAAAATAAAAATTAAAAACGTGATCGAGAAAGGTTACCTCATATAAGTCTAAAAAACCAATAAAATCCTCCTTTTTTAGTTTTTCAGGTACATGTGATCACAGTGCGTTTCTTAAATATATATATACATATACAATTAACTTATTTTAAAATTTAAACAACAATACAGTAGGATCACAGATCAAATCAATAAAAACCGATAAAAACAAACTCTCTACGACGAGGAGAAACAAAGGCTACGGGATACAATAGTTTTTTTCTCTCCTAGTTAACAAAATCCGCCACTAGGGCGAGGTTCTCATTTCCCTCCTTTGCTTAGAAATCCTGTATTCGTTTAGGAGGCCTGCAAAGACCGAAATGGATCCCAACCTATCTACCTATCTAACCTATATACCTGAAGTGTCTCAAAAATTAAAAAGGCTCTTCAGGAATAAGGTTGGGGATCAATAAAATATAATATAAATATAAGAACAACCTAAATGTATTACATGCAAATCTAAAACAAAAGAACCAATCGGATCACTTTGCAATGTGGTCTATCAGGTGTCGTGTGGTGAATGTAATGTCAACTATGTAGGTCAAACAAAGCAAAAATTGTCTATGCAGTTGAACCAACACAGGTTGGATTGCGACAATAAAAAAGATATCTGGACTTGCTACCCATGCGTTAAACAATAATCACTTTTTCAAGTTCGACTCCCCGAACATTTTGTCCGGAGAGTCGAACTTGGAAAGGAGATTATTGACCGAGAAAGTAAATATCAGTGTCACCCCAAATACTTGTAATCTACAAACTGATAGATTGGGATCCATTTCGGACTTTGAAGGCCTCCAAAACGAATACAGGATTTCTAAGCAAAGGAGGGAAATGAGAACATCGCCCTAGTGGCGGATTTTGTTAACTTGGAGAGAAAAAAACGATTGTATCCCGTAGCCTTTGTTTCCCCTCGTCGTAGAGAGTTTGTTTTTATCGGTTTTTATTGATTTGATCTGTGATCCTACTGTATTGTTGTTTAAATTTTAAAATAAGTTAATTGTATATGTATATATATATTTAAGAAACGCACTGTGACCACATGTACCTGAAAAACTAAAAAAGGAGGATTTTATTGGTTTTTTAGAATTATATGAGGTAACCTTTCTCGACCACGTTTTTAATTTTTATTTTTACTGTAATTTTAGCTATAATTTTTAATTATTAATGCATTCAATTTAAATTAAAGTTTAGATGCTGAGCCCCCCCTCCAAAAAAAAAACATAATGTACTTCTGTGCCCAAAACACCATGTTGTTTAATTCCCTATTAAGGTTTAAAGTAAGATATTCAATTTTTGTTGTAATTATTGTTTTTTCATGTTTTAATTGTTTGTTTATATGATAATAAAACAGGCCCTGAAGATGACAGTATAAAACTGTCGAAAGCTCGGCGAAAACCGTAAGGAAGTTTTCTCTGTTTTGACCTCTTCCGAAGATCCTCTGAAAATAGAATTAGTTTATAAAAATTAAGGTTTTTTAATCCTTTCTAGCATATTTTATAAGTTGGCACTTGTTTTCAATTTTCTGGTGCATTAAAATATTTCCAAACAACATTTTTTGTATTTTTCACGGGGAAGGTGCCATCATATAAACATATTTGAAAAAAGTGCGGAGAAACTTACATACAGATGCCTATGCCGACGCAAGGCAAAATGGTAAGGTTTTAACCATGGACCATGGTTTAGGCACAACTAAAATTATATACATATATCGATTTTTCATACCAAACGGCAGTCTCTAATCCAATTTGACGCACTGACAGAGATATTTTTTTAATTATGTATTTATGACAAAGCCATTTCATAAAGGCCGCCAAAGCGACATAAACAATCAATAAGGCAGAGTTCCAACGATTGAGGAGGCAGACGAGTGGACGGCGGCAGGCCCTAAGGAGAGCCACGCGGGATTTGGAGTTACTCGGTCGCTTGCTACTTTAGAAAGAAGATAATGTAAAAATAAAAGTGTGTGACGTTATCAAGACAAAAAAAAACTGCTAGTGAAAAATTCTTGTGGAGTTCATAAAGGTTTGTTACACTATACTATACAAATTCTCCAGAGAAAAGGAAACCAAAAAATAATTTTACACTTAATTACATTCTATTATAAGAAAATATTCCCTTTTCCTTACTAACTTAGTTGTAACCATTTATAAGGTATATTCGATTCATTAATTTGTTATTAATGTAAGGATCTTTCACGATTAACGGGTACAGACTTATTATTTCATTTTATTATTTATAACCATCATATTAATCCTACAACGTTATAAATACACGCTCCACCAACGTTATAATATCCAATAATAAATCAGAAAAATGTATAGTCGAGTTGTAAATTAATTTTTTTCTCAAATAAAAAATGAATATATCGATACATTTCAACTAGTATAACGATATATTTCAAGTATTTCCAGTCAAATATATCGATAAGAAATATACTCAATATATGTAGAAATATATCGATATATCGTTGTCATCCCTAGTGGGAACGAACCGTCTCCATTCACGAAAAGTGGCATATCCTAGTTCTGTGTCGAGCTTTATAGCATCGGTGTGAGTATCTATTAGGCAAGTGGCAAATTTCGAGTTTTGTCAGTTTTCTTCTTGTTCAGCGAAGTAGTTTTTGCTGTTTTGGAGTCACATATTTAGTTGTGCCACTGTAAACTTACTAATAACCGACAAATCTTTTTGAAACAATCACTACTTAGCGTTTATTTGCATATGTCTGCAGTTACTCCGTATAAGAAGTAAATTGAGCGATTTTTTGTTAGGCTACGATGGCCGACAGGACAGTCAAATACGCAAAGACATGGAAGATTCATCATCATAATTATTCAGAAATCGTGAGATGCGGTATGGTGTGATTTTTTTAATTAAATTCACTATTTTTCGTGTTCCGCTTGACCAATTTTTTATATTTAATTATACTTTTTTAAATATTCAATCAAAGTATTTCTACTCACTCAAAGTGGTTCTTTTCGGTGTAATTGTGCCATTCTTGAATATAAAAAAATATTTTTTTGCATTGTATAAATTCACTTTTTTCCACATCATACATGTATTTGTTAAATTTAAACAATGTTTGTACATCCCAGGCCCTGAAGATGATCTCAATAAAGATCGAAACGTTGGCACGATAAAGAAAATGTTTTTCTGAAAATCTACATCACACCAGACCGCATCTCACGATTTCTGAATAATCATCGACTAACGGTCACTAATCACCACACATTCATCTTTATATTTAACACATCTACTTATGAACACATAAAAAAGGAAGACTTTTTATGAAGTAGCGAGGCCAGTGACGCACCTGAAAGAGTGAGGGTTAAAAGTTTCTGACATGAGTGGTTTTTTTGGCATCAACCATGTAGTAACAGCCACGATTCAACATTTTATTGTTAATTATTTAGAGATTGTGAAATGCGGTCTTGTATGATGTAAGTTAAGAAAATATTTTCT